GAGATCCTTTTCTCTACTTTCACTCAACCTGCCTCTGGAAATCCCATCATTAATATTTACTTCAAATTGGAGTCTTTAAGGGCCTATTAAAGCCCAAAATTGGGCCTCCTCCAATAATCTTTCTCAAACTATAAAGGCCCTTCAACATGAGCAGTTACTCCGCCTTCAACAGCTTGACTCTAATCCTACTGACCATGCTCTCAATCTTATTGCAAAGGCTATTGGAGAAAATCTTACTCATTATAACTCTGCTTGGTCCTCCTAGATTATCCAAAGAAGTAAAGCATAATGGTTCTCTTAAGATAAAGAACTAAATATAATATTAAATACCTTAATAGGAAACTCCACTCTAAGAAAAATGCAAACTTCATTAGGGAGATTACCACCCCCTTGGGCTCATTTAATATCCCAAATGAGAAATCACAAGCTATTATATCACACTTTCAAATACTTTTTAACTCCTAGCAGCCTCCCACTCAAACTCTAACCCCTTACCCAAGGTTAATATTTTTCCTCAATTCATGATTTCTTCTCTTATGGCCCATGTTTCAGATGAAGAGATTAAGAATATCCTTTTTTTTTTTCAGCCCTAAAGTGTTGATTACAGGCCCTAATGGATTTACCTTTGAAATTTATAAACACATCTAGCTGATCACTGGTCCTCTAGTTTGTAAGGCAGTTCATTAATACTACATAAGTCTTTAAGATGGTTGAAGCCATTGCATTACTTTCATCCCCAATGGCTCTAACGCTAGAAATATATCTGAATTCATACCCATCTCCATATGTAATACCTTTTATCAAATAATTTTAAAGAATCTTATGGCTCAAATTATTAACCCCTTTCAAGCTGGGTTTATTAGCAAAAGGGTTTCTACGACTTATATTTCTCTTGCTTCAAAGCTTCTTGGGGAATTCAAAGAGAACCCCCCCTAATGGCTCTTTTCGTGGGAAACTGAATTCAAAGCCTTTGATACTATTTCTAGAAGCTCTCTCATACAAAGGATGGAAGCTCAAATTATTAACCCCTTTCAAGCTGGGTTTATTGATTGGATTAGAGAATGTGTTGAGGATGTACATTTTTTTTTGTGCTTGAATGGTATCCTAGAAGGATATTTTGGCTTCTCCTCTAGTTTGAGACAAGATTTCCTAGTATCCCTTTATCTTTTTTGTATTTTCATGGATGGCTTGTCTGCTCTCTTTGAAAGCTCCACCACTAATAATGACTAGAAGGGCATCACCAAAATGTGCCATCTTTTTTCTCACTTGATTTTTTGTTGATTACCTCTTTTTGGTCAAGCTACCACTTAGAATGCTACTGCTCTCAACAAAATTTTTGACAAAATTTAGCCATCACTTGAGGCTTAAGATTAATCATAATAAGCACCACCTCTATTTCTCATCCAACACTACTAATGCCCTTCATTAGTTTTATACTCAATCTCCCAACTTCTATCTTTCCCTTAAAATATATTGGCATACCCTTCTCCTATAGGAGAGCCACTATCTCTAATTTCCACTCTTAGTATCATAAGAACTCCACGAGGCTTGATGGTTGGAAAGCCAAATTATTATCCTTTGCAGGTAGGCTACACTACCTAAGATATACCATATGGAATTGCGTTTCATACTGGATTAGGGGATCTATTCTTCCTAAGGCTTGTTGCAAATTTCTAAATAAAAGATGAAACTTTCTTTACCATGAATGTACTAATTCTCATAAGATGCATCATATTTTTTAGCAAAAACCTTCCTGCTTAAGCATAATGATTGTCTGGGTCTTCTTAGCACTTAAGGGCTAAGTCATGCTCATGGATGCACTTTGATCTGACACCTTTTCACTTTTAACAATCTACTTTATGTCTGGTGTGCATATAATTATTTTACTAGAACATGTTTTCTCATCATTGTTCTCCTTTTTTAGAAGAATATATGTAAGATTAATGAGAAAAAGTAAAACTAACTTTAATCTCTATATTACTGCTACCTCTAACTTCTCCTTTCTTTGGGACCCCTGGTGCAATGACAAACCACTTTTATAAATTTATGGCACCACTCTTCTTTCTTTCACCGCCCTAGACCACCTCATGCTTTATAATCTATGGCTAATGAAACATGTTGGGTATTATACCCATTGCTATTAGAAATGATATTATAAATGATATAATTTATGACTTTTTTGGGAGAAATTTGGATTCACTTGCTTTTCAGGACTTCATGGTATTATTATAATGATTCTCATACTATTTTGTGGCATCACTTCAACTGGCATAAAAAAGATACTTTATATTTATCCTATTTTTTATGGTTGTCGCTTATTGGTGGTCTAAAAGTAGCTAATAATTTTAAAAGAAGAGGCATCTCTGTGCAAGCTTTGAGCAATCTTTGCAACAACTTTTATGAAAGTACTTCATACCTCCTATTTGAATATGACATCTCATTTAGCATCATTTATCATTTCATGCATTAGTCCACTTGGTTTTTACTGAGGCCAAACTTCAACTATTTCAATATATTTTTGATATGCCTCACATTCTCTCTTATGTTAAAAAAAGTACTATTTAACTACTTGCTGTTGTATTTACTTCTGTTGAGTCTAGTAATTAGGTTGTTAAGCCTAAGTGAATGTCCCAAGGCTACCAAGAGGGGGGTGAATTGGTAGTTTAAAAAATTTAAGTCCCCTTTAGAAAATTATTGAACCGAAATAAAATTTCTTTTAAATTTTATAGAAATATGTTTTTCAACCACAGAGTTTTTAAAACTGAAATATAAAGTGCGGAAACGTAAAAACAGTAAAGTAAATGACACCAGATTTATAGTGGTTCGGTCTATAACCAGACCTACATCCACTCCCCAGAGGCACCCTCTGAGTATTGCACTAATACCAATAGTGACTCTCCTTTTGCACCCACAGCAAGGCGGAGAAGCCTTTACAACACACTCTTTTCACCACTCCCCGGTGCGGCAGAGAACCGTCCGTCATTTTACACAATTCCCAGTGTTGGCAGAGAACCGTCCGTCCTTTCACACTATTCCCAGTGTTGGCAGAGAACCGTCCGTCCTTTCACACTCTCCTAGTGTGGGCAGAGAACCCTTTAGCTGTTTACACTCTCCAAGTGTGGGCAGAGAACCCTTCGGCTGTTCATACTCTCCAAGTGTCGGTAGAGAACCGGATCTCCTTGACAGATCTTCTCACAAGAATCTAGAAGGAAGGAGGAAAAGAGTGAAGTAATCCCAATTCACAAGTAGAGACTCTTACCTTTGAACTCCAAGTGAAACCTTCTCGCTCCAGTGGTAGGAATCCTCCCTTGAATGCTCTCTTCCACTCTCTCCTTGGCTATTCTCTCAAGAGGCAAGAAGATCAAATGACAAAAAGATTGGGTGGCAGTCTAATTTGGACTATTTATACAAAAGACAAGAAAAACCGCCCAAAAACTGCAAGTATTCAATTCTGTACGCAGTGGATCGTCCTGTACGATCGTGGATCGTCCTGGACGATTTTACTTAAACGATCTGAAACGACCCTATTTGAATATGTGTACGAAATGTCTTCGTACAACTAATCATCCTGTACGAACTAAGTTCGTCCAGTACGAACGGTTATTACAAGGTCGGTTCTAGAAACTGCTGAAAACTGTTCTAAGTCGGTTAATCGTTTGGACCAAAATTTATTCGTATGGACGAAATTTTTACAGAGGACCGATCGTTTTGGACGATAATTTATTTCGTCTGGACGAAAATTTTCCACGGACGATAATTTAATTTCGTCTGGACGAAAATTTTCCAGAGACCCGATCGTCCTGGACGATATTTAATTTCGTCTGGACGAAATATTTCCAGAGAACCAGTCGCCACGGACGATAATTTAATTTCATCTGGACGAAAATTTTCCAGAGAGCCAATCGTCCTGGACGATAATTTATTTCGTCTGGGACGAATAGGACTTAGAAAAATTTTTCGAGCAAGTTCCTATTCGTTCCACATGCTCTATAGGAGATAACTGTCTGATCGTCCAGTATACGAACTGCAAATCGTCCTGTACGATCAGTATAAATTTTATATGATCTCCTTATGTGTGTGTATGTTTTTATTCACTCAAAATACAATCACTCCCTTTCAATTTGATTTCTAAGAAAAGTGCAAGCTTCAAATTTTACAAAATATCGCATGCTGAATTTAATTTGAAGTCTTCGTAGTCTGGAGTTCGTTTTTCCTGAAATGTCAGTACACACAAGAGCAAATACAATTCTTCTAAAAAAATGTTAGGAGATAACTACACATTTGAACAATAATGTTTGGAATCATCAAAACTTCATAAGTTGCAAAAATGTAAAGCATGAAAATAGCAACTATCTTAACAACTTCATCTGGTGAGAGAGGAATGCAAGGTTCCTTGGGCATTCTATTAGTAGTTTATCTACTATTTGCCACCAAATCTTGGGAGCTATTATTGCTAAGGCATCCAATGGAAGAACTTTTTATGATGTTATGCATCTTATTCACCCCTCTCAGTTCCCTTTTATATGGCTTTAGCTTGGATGTGTTGGTCTATTGTATTTCTTGTTAAGGAGGTGTTACCAGGGTGGTCCTGTGGATGGCATTTTTTTCTTCTTGTTACCTGTTGGCTTGGTGGATGACAATATCACCTCTCATTGGATTTGGTTCAGATGCCTATTTTTTTAGGGAACATTTTACAGGATAATGATGAAAGCTTTTTGCACTCGATATTAATTATCTCCCTTGGATGGCCTAACTGACAACCAAGTGTTGGCCCGTGCTTAGATAATTCAGATACTACACATAGTTATGATGATTTTTGCACTTTTCAAGTCATAGTTTTAGATTATATTTGATTTGTTCTATTTTTCCTACAACTCCCCTTTTATGATATCTTAAATTTTTTTTTTCTGTTTAATCTCTTTTGATGTTATTATTCATTTTAATTAATAAGATTAGGCTTTACCTCTAAATCTCACTATCATATTAGCTACTTAGGGTTACTGGCCTCGGCAGACCAAATAACTAACTACAAGTCTACAGCTCTCCCGTCGTGACTTCCGCCGGTCCAGACTCAGACTCATCAGTTCCACCAACCATCCATCTCTCACTTATTACTCTACTACGCCGCCGCCGATCATGCTTTCCGGCATATTCTTCCACGCCGCCATCTCTTTCACCGCCGCCATTCTCGCCTACTTCCTCAACCTCCCCGTCTTAACCCTCCAAGGTCTCCACACCTACATCCATCCCGACTCCATCGCTGCCGCCGACGGAACAAAAGCCCTTCTTCGCCGCCCTGGCGCCATTGCATCCTCCTTACCCGATCCGAAACGTCGATCCAGATCAAAGGATTCCCGCCTCGCTTTCGACGAATCCAAGGCCCAGCTCTTCCGCCTCCGCCTGGCTGATTCCCTCCTCCCTTCTCGCCTCTTCTTCGCCACCTACCGCTCCTCCTTCCTTTCATCCTTCATTTCTCTTTTCAATATTTCTATCTGCATTCTCTTTCCGTTGTCGGATCCCTTTGCCGCCATCCCCTTCGCCGCTGTTCTCATTTCTGCTTCCCATCTCCTCATCTCTCTCCTATTCCTATCCCTCGAACGCTCCGCCTCTCGCTTCTCGGAGCGCCGCCTTAGCCTTTTATCAGCTCTGATCAGCTTTCTTTTAGCGTTCATCATACTCATCCGCTTGTCGCCCTCTGTCTTCGACTTCCGGATCCCCGGCGCTGTTTCCCCTGCTGTAGCCTGTCTTGCCGGCTTTCTTGTTGGGATCCTCTTCACGCCCGCTGCACGAGCCGCCCGGTCCTTTTGGCTTGGTACCGATCAGTTGCGCTGGAATCTCTCTGTTATTTCCTGTGGAACATTTGGTCGTGTACTCCTCTACACTTCCGTTATCTTAAGCTTCGTCTCCCCGCTGCTTTGGGTCAAACCCTTAGCTTTGGCAGAGCGCTTCGAGGATTGGAGAGTATGGGCATTGGCGGCAGCTGCTGGCTCACAGCTTCTGGTGCTCCGCAGCAATGTTCAGATGTATCTGAATGAGCCCGTGATGTGTTGGTATCAGCGGCTGCATTCTAGTAGGGTTCCGGACTTGGATTATGGTCGGGCGAAGGTATTTTTACACAACCACTATGTTTGTCTTGCGGTGATTCAATTCTTTGCGTCGCCAGTGCTGGTATTGCTGCTTGCTGGGTTGTCTCAGATGAGAGGTAATTTATTTGGTGGCATTCCTTTTGCTGGCGGACTAATGAAATGCTCTGATATTGTAAAGGAAATGGCTTTGTTTATAGCCTGGTGGATTATGTTTGGTCAATCTGTTTTGATGTTGTTATTTCTATCTCTTCATAGGTGTGGTTTTGTATTTGTTTCATGATTTTTGCGTCTTTCAATAGTCAACTGTTTCTTAGCAGCACTTTGGTTCCCATTCATTGTACTTTAGGATGTTATACAAGATGTTCTGAAAATGGAGATTACACTCGATTCACAATTCAGCTACACGTCCTTAATGTAATGGATTTTCATGTTAGATGGATCTGTCTTCTGTTTTTGGTACTCATAATGTTGAAATCTATGGTCTTGCCAAAGGCTATGTAGTAAATCACCTTTTCCATGACATATATGTATGAGAAGGTTGAAAAACCGATGCTTTAGCTTTTTTGCTTATAAAATAAACATAAACTCTACATACTGGACTCTATATTTTTCCTTTCTGTATAGACAAAGTTATATCAACTTAGACATGAATTATGGCTAGATCTTTATATTTATTTAAAGTTTCTATCATTTAAAATGATAAAAATCTGAGTGAAGAGTGTGGTTCTTGACATGTAGTTCAGTTTATTATTCAAGTTTGAAATGAAAAGAGCCCTTGATAAAACTCAAACTATAAAGCTTACCAAAGAAAGAAATGAATTATCTCCAACCTTTAAAATTATTTGATGGAATGATTTTGATTGGGCCTTGAGTTGAGAGTTTTGGAAAAGAATGAGGATAAATATGTGACATAACTAACTGAGTCAAATGGGGGGCTAAGATGGGGAGGTTGTTACCTCAAATGGAAGGAGAATAAAAACGTGGAGATGCGTCCTGATGTTCTAAGTGATATAAAAATATTGCGAGAATTTAAAAGTCAATTTGGGTGCTGACAAGTGGATGGATTTTGCTTTCTGGGTCCATGGGAAACAAAGAATTAACCAACATCAAAGTGGAATGTGCTAGAAATGGCAATTTTAAAATGGATGTGTAGTAAAACAAATTGATATTTATGCTAACTGATTATATTCGTAAGAGGGTCGTGGTAGCACCTATTAAAGAAAAAAATATATGGTACAAATTTAGTCAATTTGATTAATTAAATGGGATAGTTGGAGTGCATCAATAAGATGTGGAAATAGAGTTAATAACTTAATGTAGATAAAATATACCAAAAAATAAGTACACCATAAGTATTTTAAGTAAATGGAAGAAGCAGGGAAGCTGACTGTGGCCTCTTGGATGGTTGTCAGTGGTAGGGTTGCAGTTGTTGATCCTATCAAAGGAAATTATGGTGGAAGAGGAGGAAAGGCTTGTTAGCTAAGGGCTAAATTGAAGGGGGAAACTTCATTTCTTTATTTCTTTCCCTATTTGGAGTTTAAATAAATTTGCAAGTATTTGAAAAAGGAATCCTATAAGTAAGAAAAGGAATATTTAATATCAAAATAAGTAAACAAATATTAGGGGGTGCTAGCTAGTTCGATTGGTAGTGGGCCTTGGAAGTTGTTGCCAATGTCTTGGGTTCAAATTTTGCCTAAGTTATAATAAATCCCATCATTCAGACTTCGGTGGGAAAAAATAGTAAATAAATGCTAAATCTCAAAAGAAGAAAGCAATTAACAATACAACAACAACAACAACATCAAACCTCTATCCCAATATGTGGGGTCAGCTACTTGAATCCTTTTTCTCCATTATGCCTTGTTAAAAGTTAAATTTTCATTTAAATCTAATAAAGAAAGGTCATTTCTAATATTTTCTAACCAAATTTTTTTAGGTATACCTCTACCTTTCTTAACATAAGTTGAATCTAATACATCTACTTTCCTAATCGGGTCATCGGAAGGCCGCCGTTTTATGTGACCAAACCATCTAAGGCGGCTCTCTTCAATCTTATCTTCCACTGGAGCAACTCTAACCTTTTCATATATATGCTCATTTTGTATCCTGTCTCTAAGAGTAAAGTCACTCATCCACCTGAGCATCCTCATCTCTGCAACGCTTAACTTAATATTATGCTTCTCTTTTAATGGCCAACATTTTGCACCATAAAGCATTACAGGTCTAACCACAATGTTATAGAATTTTCCCTTAAGTTTGAGGGGGACTTTTCTATCATAAAACAAGCTCGATGCATTCCTCTACTTCAACCATCCAACTTGAATTCTACAAATAATATCCCCATCTATTTCAGCATCACTCGAAACAATAGACCCAAGATATCTAAAACGTGAACTCTTATTAATGACTGGATCACCCAAAATCACAATCCCCACAAAGTCACAATTAACAATGAAACAAATTAATCAGGAAAAAACTCTCAAATCTAAAAAAAGAATTGATTTCATAATTTCATTAGACCCCTTGAACAAAAATGTTGTCAGTCTGCAATCGATCTCATGCAAAGTTATTCTTCTAGACAAAATGTAATACTTTTATAAAGAACCCTTTAGTTCAGTGTTTTGATATTCCAGAACAAGATCCATCTTTTTGTCCTCGTTTTCATTGTTTATCAACCAAGGCTTGGATGATTTGAATTTCTTTGCATTGAAGGCTTGTTGTTATTGTTGTTGTTGATGATAGCAGAGTAGATCTTCTTATAGGTTGATAATTTCAATTGAAATTAATTGTTGGCATTCTGTAGAAGTATTTGAAATGGCTCTTAGTGGATGTGCTTGATTTTTCTATCCTTAACTTTTAACCTACATTCCCTAGATGCAGCCAATCTAAATATCCATATTATAATGCAAAATCGTTATAATGCTTTTCATTATGAACTTTCTATTTCTACAATGACTTTTTAAGATTCTTGTTCTCCTCTAGTTTGATCTTTTGGATCACTTCCTGAAATTGTTTCAATCTTATTATTATATAAATTCTAATCAAATGAACTTTGCTGTAGAAAATCTAAGCACATTGCTATTTATTTGTGTGTGGCTCAATTCAAGGAAAATTAGGGGTAAGGGAGGCCATTGTTCAGGCTTCTAGTTTCAAGAATCTTTGTCTCGCAACATTTGAACCATCATCCTGTACATCAACCTCTATGTAACCATCAGTTTGAAGGTGAAGTGTAATACATCTTTTTAAGTTTATGTCCATCAATTTCCATAGTGATCTCAAATGGTACAATGGAATCTGCTCTCCCCTAATAAATATGGAGGCATGCAATCTGAAGTGCTTCTATTTGTTCTAAAGAAAAAACTTTGTTGCTTCCTCACCTATGGTAGTCTTTTTTCAAGGAATTAAACATGATGAACCGATTAACGATGATAAAAATGTAATTGAATCCTTATTGAGTCTCTAGTAATTCTATAAAGAAGTTCATTGAGATTGACTCATAGGGTTGGCTACATATTAGTAAAGGTGTTCAAATGCCAACTTTTTAGTTTGATGACTTAACAATATTACAGAGGAGGTGATGCAACACCAAGATAAAAGCTACGGATAATGTCTCAGATCAAGATGCTGCATCAAGATTGGAAACATTCTTCATACAAGCTAATTGAGTACTCGTGATTTCTCTAAAATTATTGGATAATAACTAAGAAACTTATGGGTTGTTTGGTTTGATGTAAAATGTGTGTAAAGTATTTCAGATGTAAGAGTTTTGAGAATATTGATGTTTGGTTTGTAGTAAAATAAATGCAGTGTAAAATTTTGGTGCATTTGGAATTCACCCTCTAGTTCATTTTTAGTGTATTTGAAATTCTTCAGATTTATGTGAGTTTCAAGTACACCATAAATTCATCGCCTTTGACACCGTTGGCCGCCAACTAATACTATACGCCGCCCTCCAATGCCCCGTCACCGCCGCCCACCAACACCACCATCGTTGTCGACCACCGACCACAACTGCCACCACGTGACTTTACCAATCACCACCACTATTGTCATTGGCCATTGCCTGTTGTTGCCTCCTCCGTCGACCACCGCTCATCAATGGTCGCCACCACCCATTGTCATCCATCACCACCGCTAACAACCGACAACCAAGCGCCATTGCTGACCACTGTCGGCTACCACCCACCATCGTCATCCACTGCCATCACAAACCATCGACCACCACCATTGCAACTTTCGACAGGCCACGCCGGCCACCACCTCTGCTGCAGTTGACCACTGTCACTTGCCACCACACATCATCGCCGCCGACCACCACCATCTTTGGACTTTACATTACATTCATTATACAGTCATCTAAACAATTTTAAAATATTCCTTTTACATTACATTCGATTTACATTTCATGCCTTTTACATTACATTTCTTTTTCTGCCAACCAAACAACCTCTTAATTTAAGATCCTTATTAAATTTTAAAAATGAATGTAATGTAAAAATGATTGATTTCAATACAACTATACTTTTCTTATTTAGCCAATCTGAATAATATTTGAAAGCTTTGAATTTTATTTTATTTTTCTAATTTTCTTTCTCTTTATATTATTACAAGTTATCAATATATGCAATAGTATTTTATTAGTTCCTATGACTTTCCAAGGTTGTCTCGACTTGAAAAAGATCTATATGTAGAACCTTGCTTTATACTTTTGAATTTATCAAATAAATATTACTTTTTTTATTAGTGCAAAGTTCATATAAAAAGGGTTAGTAGCTAACTTGATGAGGACATTCGACCGTGAAAAGTTTATCAAAGAAGTGGCCGAAGATCTACGGCTACGATTGGACACTTTATTTCTGAGTATTTATTTATTTTTTTATTATTATGTATTTTTCTGTTTTTATCCTCACTTGAGGGAGTAGGCTTATATGACCCCAAGTGGCACTTCTGTCATTGGATATTTTATTTTAAGTCGTCTATTTATAGGCCTCTTCTCCTCTTTGGAGAGTATGATGATTATGAAGAAAGAAAATTTCAGCACTTTATTTTTTGGTGAGTTGTGATAATTCTTATGAGAGCTTATACGAAGTCCCTTGGTGAGGGAAAAGCACTAGCCGTCAGCCGCAAAAGTGTCCGGACTTGCGGTTTATCTCAACCGCCAACTCTCTTTCCCTTCTTTCCGCTAGCCGCCGGACCAACTCCTACCCCTAGCCGTCGGTCATTCCCAACTTCCCTTTTGGCCGATTTTCACCCTAAACCACCGGCCACCCTTTCCATCCTAAACGGTCAACCTTCCCTCCTAACCGCCGACCATTCACCTCTTTCCATTGACTCCAAAATTTCAAGCCAAGTGGCTTATCATAAATTTGGAAAGTCTTAAATTCAAATTTAATTCACTTAAATATGAAATTTCTTTCTTAAAAAGGGAAGCGTTATGTTAGGAAAGTTTCTTTATTCATGCTAATTTGAATTTTGAATAGAGATTTGCCCTAAATCTCATTTTCC